ACTGGAGGAGAGGTGAATATGAAAGGCGCAGGGCTGCTGTGTTGACCCATGAGGCACAGGTATCTGCCACTGGGCCAGCATGTCTCTGGGTGTACAGCAGCTCCGCCTCCGTTGGAGGCCTTGGAGCTCAGCCTTTCATCTCAGCCCCAGCAGTTTCAGTCAGCCAACCTGGGTTTGGTTCATTGATCTAGAAGCCAGCAGGCAGGAAGCTCTCTCATCCTGGCCACCATTTGTGCTCTGAACTGGCAGGGACTGGCTTTAGTGAACTCTTATGGTATTGATTAGAGGGAAACACTAAAGGAAGGTGTGTGTGTCTGTGTCTGTGTGTCCATGTTGTTATAGGCAAGGCTGGCTCCTTCAGACTTGAGGAGGAGGTCAAGTTAGAGAGAATCCATAATCATACTAAGATAAGAGAAAATGTGACAAAGAAAGAAGAGAGAAAATAAAAGAGAAGATAGGAGTTAAAATCTATATTTGTGCACCTCAGCTTCTAGGTGAGCTATAGATCCTGTCTTACTGGGTTCAAAGTCACAGTAAGACTATCAGAGTCAGTTCTTCAGAGATGCCTGCCATTGCTTGTCTCTGTTAACTGCTTTAAGCAGAATAGGTTACTGTTCATATACAGTTATAAATTGAACTCAGTTGTCTGGTTTGAGTTTTGAGTGGATGTGGTAATAACTTCCACATGTTTGGTGTGCTAAGAGTTTGTGGTCATTGGTAGGATGAAGACTTTTGTTAGATCTTCAGTGTAGGTTTCAGGTGAGACCTAATGAGGTGCAGAACATAAAGCATGCTTGTGCAAGTCAGTAATTTGATCATAGCTTTACAATAAAAATAGGTACATTAAAGAATCCTGATAGAAATCATGGGTTTAATCACAGTGTTATTGCTTACTTTATCAGCCCTCTGAGATTTTGTTTAAACTGACTCTTGGGGTTATTTTATTTATTTTTTAATTTTATTTTAGGGCTGTCAAATAATTTAAATAATTAATTGTGATTAATTACATTATTTTGTTTAGTTGTGTGTTGTCTTACTTCCTCAGCTTTGACCCCTAGAGAGAGTTCTTTTTCCCATTTAAAAATCAGATGATCTTTCAAAGTAATACTTCCAACAGTTCAGTAACATTATTTTCATTATATGAATGCAGGGTTCACATGAACTGAACATGAAAATCATGTGAACACCCAAGTGAACATCAAAAAGTGAACCCAGTTTCCATTTTCTGTCTAGTGAGAGCAACGGTGGCTGCATGTTCCAGCGATTATAGCCTCTCACTCCCATATCACTGCATTACATTGTGATTTAAAGGAAACTGTTGCTTTTGGTAGTTTACTACTTGATTTAGTAGGCCTCCCGTGAATGCTGTCTGGCATAGTCTTGGAGGGTGGCACCCTCCAAGGTTAACATTACTGATATTGATCATTGGTGTGTTTTGCTTGCTTAAGACCCAACATCAGGAACCATCAAGAGAACTTCTTGCCATTTAAAAGCTGAATTTAAATGAGAAGGTGGAATCATTGCAATACACAGCATGTTAGCAGCTGTGCCTCTTGCTAGAACTTTGGTTTGAAGTGTCAAACTAAGAAAATGTATTACCAGCGTTTAAAAAAAATAAATAAAAAATAGTGGCACTGATAACTGACCATGCTAATACATTATTAGTACTTAAAAGTATCCAGACACCCTTTTTAATTGGTGAATTCAGCTACTTTAATGTGCCTCATTGCTGACACAGGTGTTCACTTGTGCACACACAACTTGTGTAACTTCCTTGTTACAGCACTGCCAATAGGTTGGGACATTCTGGAGCAGCCACACATGAGCCGAAAGTCACCATGCCCAGTGACAAGCGTTTGCTATAGGGGTATCAATCTCCCCAAAAGCTCCACTGAATAACTTTGGGATGAGTTGGAGTGGTGATTGTGATCCATAATAAATTGTCCAACATCAGTATCTGACCTTACTAATGCTTTTATGGCTGTATGCAATCAAATCCTCACAGCAATGTTCCAACATCTAGTGTAATATCTTTTCAAAAGTGTAAATGCTGATACTGCTGCAGGTGTGTACAAACTTTAGGGCATGTAGTGTTAGGGTGGGAATCTCTCTAGGCACCTCACGATTTGATTCGATTACGATTCAGAGGGCTGCGATGCGATTATAAAACGATTATCAATGCATCTCGATGCATCTTTTTTTTCTATATAGCATTTATATTTTCTCACTGTGTGAGCTCAAGTTTCGAGTTCTAGTTTCAAGTTTATTTGTCACTTGCACAACATGTCAGGACATATATGCATTGAGAAATGCTTGTGGTGAGGCTCAGCTAATCACTCTACAGAAAGTAAATAAGTAAAAATAAAAATACAAGAAAAACCAACTGAAATATATTAAATATACACAAAATATATACAGAATGTAGAGACAATATACATTTTAAAGTGACTAAGTAACTCGGTGTTATTGTTATTTAAAGTGACTTGGTACTTTTAAAGCAAAGTATTTGTAATGATCCATAATGAATTTACTTCCAATATCTTTTTTAATAAAACAAATGGAAGTGATGTGGCAAGTGAACTAGAAGACTCTCATTCAGTGCTCTTGTTTGGATGCGCGGTTACGGTGAAATAAGATCCAGTGGCAATGGATGTCCACGCAGCACGTGTTACAGCTATTCTACCCGTTTTCTTTAGTGATTTTATAACTTTGGTTTGGTCTCGTTGTAGAGACGGGGGGGATCGCTGTGTCAGTAAAGTATCTTTGAGACGGGACGTGTGCAACATAGCGCGAAAGCCCTGTTTCAAACGACTGAGAACCGGCGTGCAGACTGCAGGTCACATAGCAGCGATGTGTTATTCGCATTTATAAGCACCGCAGTTGGTTTCCTGGTACGTTAAATCTGCAACGAGAGACTGTCACACACTAAAAAGTGGCGAAGCTGAAGTCGGCTTATCTTTCGACTTCTCCCGTTTCACCTTAAATGGTGCCGCATTTACATTCCGCGTCTCAGTTAGAATTTAAGGTAGGACGGGTAAATTCGAACAAGAAGCTGGAGAATAAGAAGCGACTTCAGCCTCGTAAAACAGTCGAACATTGAGAGACATTTAACTGATCTACTTCTGAGGAAAAGTTTTCTGGCGGAGATGGGAGGAAAGCGGCTATAGCTGAGCTAAAGCTTAAAGCACAGCAAAGTAAATCTGCGTTTTCGTTTATATTGTTTAGTCTATACTAGGACATTATTGCATACTGAGACATACTGGACATTAAATGTTGTGGATCCCAAGGTGGTTTGATTTTTGTTGAAAGGACAAAATGTTAACATTTGTGTTGTGACTCCTGACCTAACCTAGCTTTTAATGCAGAGGGAGCCGGTCGGATTTCTCGCTCATCCAGTTGTGTTTTTGTTATATGCCGCCACAGACTGTCCGGGCGCTGCACTTCTGCACTTCCAAGTTCTGCCTTTTGCGTTCCGTCAACATTACGTTATAAATTAAATATTTAGAAAATCGATTTTTAATTTTGGCTACCTTTTTCTCATGTTTTGAGGAATTGGCTCCATTAGTTCCGAAGGAAAGTCTTATGTGCGATTTCTGAGTGTAGTCTGTGTTGGAGAGAAAAGCCCTTCCTCTCATTAACATAACACTTTAATTGGGTTAAGCGTTGGAGGCCAGGAAGCTGTGTGACAGTCTCTGTTTTGTCTTCAAGCGGATTTAATTATGTTGTAGTGAGCACATGAAACTAAACCATCTCTGGAAAGTCTGTGAGACTTGCCGTGCTACAACAGGAAATTAGTTTAGGATTGAATCTGGTTTGTTTTCTGGTTGTCAGTTCGTCACCCTTTTTGTAAAGGGAGAAACAAAACATTTTTGGTCATAATAAATAGCAGTTTTGTTATGGGGCTTTTGCTTTGTGTTCCTTTTTTGGGCTGCCTGTGCTGTTGGTGTGGTGAGCTAATGGTTAGTTGAGAATGGTAATGTTAGTGCAGTTGGAAGCGATGCTGTGCTGCTATTAGCACGGTGTTGGCGCTGAGCTCAGAGGTGATGGATGACTCACTCAGTGGCCATTATGGGCCCACGCTTGTTCTCAGGCTCCTCCACACTTCTGTGCCACTCTCTCCTCCTACTCGCTCCCTTACACACAGCTTCTGGGGAGGGGACAGGAGGGGTTTGAGGGGGAGCGATTGCTCTGATAAAACACTTGCCAGCCGTGCTCTGATTGGCTAGTTTGAGATGTGCAATTCGGTGCTACTGTCGCTAGATCCCTCCCCCACTCTCCTCCCCCTCCTCTCTCCCTCTCTCACTGGCGCTCTCTCTCTCTCTCTCTCTCTCTCTCTCTCTCTCTCTCTCTCGGAGGCAGTGTTCCAGAGAGGATATCTGCCGTTTGCAGAGAGGAGAGGATTAACTCAGCCACTCATCTCATCTGCATATAGATGCTCAGCAAGACAGACAGAGGGGCTACACGCACATGCACACACTTAAACACAGAACTATTTCTCTCTTCCATCCATCCAGTTCTGGAATTACTCTTCTTGGTGTAAGGAGCCTTTTTTCCCCATTTTTTTGTTATCTGGAGTTGGAGTTGAGGGCTTTTAGAAAGGTGGCTTGTATTGGTTGTGTTTGGCTTTCAGAGCTTTCATCCTTATCAGAGCTGACTCGCCCTACCTATCAGTAATGCAATGCAGGACATTTTCAGTGTGACGGGGAACTTCTGAGTGTCGCGGGGTGCTTTATTTTCATCACACATCGTCTGAAAGTCACTGGGTCTTGCTGCTAAGCTCCCAGCAGCCCTTCAACTGCGTAGAATCAGTTAGTAAGCGTGTCGGCATGCCGTCGCGGGAGTCTTACAGTCTCCGTAAGGGGGAGAAGTCCCTGGTGCACAAGGCCAAGCAGGAAGGAAAGGAGCAGGAGATGCTGGCGGCAGCACTAGGCATGAGGATGGGTCCTCAGAAGCCTCCCGCCACCCTCTGGCAGCCTCTCAAACTCTTTGCCTATTCACAGCTCACATCGCTGGTGAGACGGGCCACGCTGAAGGAGAATGACCGCGCGCCCAAGTATGAAAAAGTCCACAACTTTAAGGTAAGACTATTGTACTTTCTTTACTGTTTTTACCAGAAGATATATAATTACGTTACACACATGCACGTTCATGGTGGTCATGCTTTTATTAATGTTGTTTTATTTCTGTGTAAAGGTAGAACTGTTCTTAGTGTCATTTTAAATTGTTAGTACTGATATTTTTTTCCAAGTAAGTAAAATATGAAGTGCTGATGGTCTAATATTGTGTTTGTGTTTTTTACAAAAACAAATAGTAAAAGGCTGAACAAGCTATACAGATGTTACCCAAATGCCATAGAAAAGCATTTGTGGTTTCTGTGTGGTTTTCATGGTGATGGCTAGGATGTAAAAGATACAGCTTTATGCAAGTTGTTACAGCAGTATGAATGTAAGTTAGATCAGAAGAGTAGTTTGAGGTCTATTCACCGAGTGTGTTGCGCAAACATAAAAAAGATGTTTGTTTTTATTAAACTTTTCTTGTTTAGTGTTTGGCCTGTGGGACAGAACTCAGCTTCAGGTGACAGATGGAAAGATTAGGGATTGATAGACCGCGCTAGCGTAGTGGTGTATCCCCATTTGGCTTCTGTCAGCAGCAGTGGTTTCCCACTCTATATCTTATTCATTTCCCTTTTCCTTCTTAATTCTTGTGTTCTTACTGGCTTGTGTATTTTCAAGTCCTTTCCTATGTCTATTAGTTTAGATCTCTTTATGTGCCATTTATTGTATACTTATTGCTTCATTCAGTCCCTCTCTCCATTTTTGTCTCTCTCTCTTTACTTTTCTTTTCCATCCCTTATTTCAGTGTGTTCTGGATGAGTAACTGGAATATAGAGGCAGTAGTACCTCAAAGACTATAAAACTGCTGACTCCACAAAGAGCTTCTCTTAGCCTACGTCTTTCTCTAACCATCCTCATCTCTGTGTTCTCTCAGCATGGTTGGCTTTATCAACAGCTGCCCTTAGAAGCAAAAGCAATCAGGTGGAATTTGGTTGTAATTACATAGACCAACAAATAAAAAAATAACTATGTCTGTTAACTGCCGTTAAAAGGCTACTGATAATTAATTTTATATTCACTAAGTAACAGTATTATCATCAAAGCTCTTGTCCCCTCCAGAAAGCTGATTTGCCTATTAGTGTTTCTACTTTGAGTCATTCAACATATGGAAATTAAGCTTCTTTCTTTCTTTAGACTGCTGTGTGAGATTGATGTGTTTGATGTTGCTTTCATCACCTTCCCTGGTGTGTGTAAGAGAAACAGAAGCGTATTGGCTCTGTAGTCCTGCTTATGTTCACTGAGGCCATGTTTAATTTCATTCAGCAGCCAGTGTGTCCCACAGCAGCGGCTGCGGCTAGTCCCCCACTCAGCTCCCCAGAGAGAGACTGGGACGGCTCCTGATTGGCTGAGCTGTTACCTGGTGCAGAGGAGAAAAGGAGTTGTGATAGCTCTTTGCCAGAGAGAGAGAGAGCGCTTGCTGAATGGTCCAGCTATACGCTGCACTCAGTCACTGCATGCCTGTGCTTCTGTGTCTGTTTTTCTTTGTTCTCTTCTTTTTCTTCTTTACCCACAGTCTTTTTCCCTCTCTTTCTTTCCTTCTCTCACTCTCTGCAGATGAATTGTTTGAGTGAGTTTAACAGGCCGTCAGATTTGACATGACTGTAGAATCTCTCATATCTCACAGATAATGCCCCATTCCGGCCCCTTTAGGCAGTGAGAGGGAGTGTGGGTGTTGCTCACGTTTTTTTTTTTTACTTCACTTCCTGTTTTGTCTCTCTCTGTCTTGTAGGTGCACACGTTCAGAGGTCCACACTGGTGCGAATACTGCGCTAACTTTATGTGGGGGCTCATTGCTCAGGGAGTCAAATGTGCAGGTGAACACACATACACACACGTGCACACACACACACACACACACACACACATACACAAAGTCACATTCCAGGTTTAAGCCTTTTATAAATAATACAAATATCAGAATACATATATTCAGATTAGAACACATTTTTTTCAGTGGTCTATTTTTCCAACTTCAGTACAGTTTCAAAGGCCATCCATATAACCAGAACATTGGCAGATCATATCCAGTAGGGATTCCACAAAACATCATTTCCTTGTGATGTTACAAGGCCAAACTGTGACATTGTACATCGTGGAGAATGTGTGTTCTGTTGGTTATGTCTGCAAATTTAATAGCATTGTTTGAGCACCTATTTTTAAACGATCAGCATAATTCAAGAACTTACTCCATCACTCTTCCTGACTCTTAGCTCTGGTGTCGGTGGTATGATGTGCAGCAACATGATTGTAGTTAGTAATTGTAGTCTTCATTTGAGTTTTGTTCGAATTATGAGAATACTGAATCGTGAACCCAGTATCGTGAATCAGATCAAGTTGTGGGCAGAGTGTTTCGTTACAGCCCTAACATCCAGTAATATTAAAAGTGCAGAAATGTTACCACATAGCCACAATACTACTTCACTAATATTGAGTGGATTAAGAGCCTTATAAGAATTAATACATTTACTAATGAGATGCTTAAGTCTTCAAAATGAAAGGTTGTTTTAGCTAAACTAATGGTGGAGGAAACGGCATTTGTTAAACAGTATTTGTTAAGTGTTGTTTATATAGGTCACACAGTAAATGTTTGGTCCAAAGTAATAGCCTATAGAAACTGGGGCTAATTCAGTGTTTGAGTGCTCTACTCAATGTATGTGGTGAAACAGGAGCAGACACTGTTGAAAATGTATGAATATTGTTTTAATGGAGAGATCACAAATTTATAAGTTTTCCATGTCAATATGTTGAAGTTAGTCTGTGAATGTGGAGGGTGGCTGAGCGATCATGTGGGTTTTGTTTTTTTTTGTTTGTTTTTTTTGGTTTTTTTGAGCTGAAAATTTGGAGCTAGATTTATTGTGAGCCTGAACAACTGGAATTCCAGCAGCTGTTTTTGTTTCTGACTTTAAGTCCTCATGTTATTGTTGTCTGATGTAGTTTCTCTTCATTTTTCTGCTTCGCTCTAAAGTGGTTTAAATTCTCTGAAATATTGCTGTGCACTTTAGTGTAGCAATTAGTCATTTAGTACTTAGTAATTTTTATGGGTAGTATCCTTCTTTTTAAAAAAAAAAAGTTATGTCATGTTTCCTCTATTTTAAAGGTATTGGTGAGAGGTGGTGAGGCAGACTGGTGTGTGTATTTTTAATGTTTTATTTATAGGACAAAGTGAGCTACACTTAATGTTTTCAGGGACTGGACTAATGAATAATGCATGGATCGTTTTTGAAAGCAGCTTATGTTCAAAGCCTTTATTTTGAGATCCCTTTTGTAGATGGTGCTGTTTCTCTTTCTCTGTCTCTCTCCACATCATTTTCCCACTCTCTTTCTGTCAGTGATGCTGCTAGAAACTAGGACAGTCTCATTTGATGTTGAAATTTGCATTACACAATGTCCCATCTCTCTTTCTCTCATCGTGTGTGTGAGAGTTTGGGTCAGTGCCAGTGTGCCAGCCCCTCTGTCTGTGTGTTGTGCCACATTGCTTCATCAGGGTAAAGCCCCCCTCCCCCAAAGCCCATGCCATCATGGCGGAGAGCAAAACAAAGCTGGCATGTCTTTATAATGAAGCGAGGGGCCAGGAGCTCTGTGAAGCATGCACACACACATTGAAATTCAGTCCCCATAAGCAGAGATGGGTCACTCAGTGTTACGCTCTCATTCAGAGTACTCTGTGAGCGCCAAGCATGTGTTGGAGCTCAGGTCTCTGTCTCTTTCTCACACACACACACTCGCTTACCCTTAAAGATAGTACTGAGTGTTCTGAATGTGTAGGTTTAGATATGTGTGTTTGCTTTAAGCTTAGGGCTGAATGATTTGATGAAAATATTCAGTTGCATTTTTTATAGATAATATTGCTAATTAATTGTAGTTGTCTTCTAGTAATTAAACATCAGCCATGTTTTTTGAAAAAAGTTGATCAGCATGTCCATCTTTTCTTGCTTGAAGCTTGAACACTGAAGGTAGCCTGCTAGGCTGCTGGTTCACAAGCTCTGTATTATTCAATTTCCTCACTGAAAACGTAAGACAATGATGAATAATGTAGGATATAATTACTATCACAGTTCTTGCGATTTGAAAATTGCACTTTGAAATCATGATTGCGATTTTAAAAAAATTCACCTCTAGTCAAGTTCCCAGAGGTCTCTTGTCTGGTGGGAATCACCTCAGCACTAGCTTTCTGAACACAGGATCAGCAGCCCTTAGAGGACAGAGTGAACCTATGAGCGCCTGCCCTCTATTACTGTGCCTGTCTCTACTTTTTAAGAGATCCCTCACTCTCTTTCATAAAATAATTACATTTCTGCATCAATGAATTTAAATGAAGGCACAGTTGCTCAAGGGGCCATTTTTTAATCAGTCTTTTTGAATTGGTGTCACCACACCATATTCAGTGGTTTGTTTTGTATAAATGTTTAAACGTTCTTAATTGTAATTACAGAAGCTAATGGGAAAAATGGTCTGCTCTCACTTTTGCCTGTTTAAAAAGGTAACCAGCAGGAGAACAATTTTTGCTTTTAGTCAGTGAATGAAAGAGGTCAGATTAATTAATTAACTGAGGCACATAACAAGTAGGTTTTGAGCTCCTGGTATTTTCAGTTGTTTCTATGCTGTTGAGAGCAGTGTGGTTCAGAGACATAGCAAGCTGAACTTCTGCAAAGAGCTACTTTTTTACCTTTGCAAAGAAAGGGATAGTAAACAATGATATCATCGGATTTTGTGAAGATATTGATTTAAAGGTTTGTGTGTATGAGTTCCCCTAAAAATCTGAGTCAGGCTGAAAGGAGTGGAGAGCTTTGAAGATCTGCCCCATTTAAAAGTGGAAATGAGGTCTAGTTTACCCTGCAGCTCTGAGAACGGCTGTCTGCTTCACTATTGTGTACATGTGCAGATCTGGAGAAGAGTGGACCTCTCTCTCTCTCTCTCTCTCGCTCTCTCGCTACCTCCCTCTCATTTTCCTTCCTTCAGGCCACATTGTTTTCAGCGTAGCTCTAATTCCTTAATTCTCCCCAAGAGCCCTGCTCACACAAAGCAGACAAGTCTGTGCATCTGCCCTAGCTTCAGACATAGTGCTGCTTTGGATCTCTAGTCTCTTCCCCTTTTTTCTGAATTTTCATCTCTCTTTCTCTTTTTCCAGCTGTCTCTGTTGGTCTCTCCTTGTGGTTGTACCTGCTCTGTAGCAGCTGGCCCATTTAGGGTGCCATGTATTATATATTAATGAACTAATTTGCCTACATTTGCATAACTCCAGGCTCAGTCTCTGTGTTTGTTTGAGTGAGCCTCTTTTCATGTTTGCAGTCCTTCATTTGCGCTGATCTGTTTTCTTTTTTTTTCTCTTTATTTTCAACATTGAAATAAGCTGTGTTGTATAAGCGTGAAATCTGAAACCCAGTGCAGTGAAATTTATTCTTTTTACACCCGTGTAATCACAAGGCAGTAGCAGCCAGCATTTTCTGGTGTTGCAAATTCACAGTGCAAAAAATATCTATTTTATTGTTCGAACGCTGTTGACCCTGTGCCTGTAAGATTGTATATCTTTGATCCTCATCACCATCTCGCCATCACCTTTTAATACTACTGAACCTCCATTCTATTCTGGTGTTTCTGTTTTGGCAAACACCAACACACACCCCTCCTTCCTACGAATCTTATAATGACATTTGTGATTTTATAGCCTAGAAAAGACTGAAGTAGCTCATGCATTTTTTATCAGCCATAATTTGTAGTCCTGGCATGTTCCTCCAAGGTGACACCAACAGTATGCCTATCGGCCAATCAGAAGTTGATGACATCAGAGATTGGAGGACATTGACACAATTTGGACAGTTATTGATTAAGGAGACTGAACCCTCACCACACTGGATGAAAAATTAACCCAATCTGCACTAGCCACAGGATATGGACAATCAATAATTGTATTAGCTTCAAACTGCTGTGCTTTGCAACTGGACTGTGCAGTCTTTCTACTTCTCACCAATAGTGCATTGCTGCAAGTAGTTTTAATTTGCATGGATTATGCATGCTTAAACATCCTTGCAGGGACAGACATAATTCCTTTGAAAATGGATGATATAGGCAGTTTATTTTAATTACATCAAGGAGTACAGTTGCATTTTTTATTTTATTTATGGATTTTCTGTTTTTTGCAGACTGTGGGTTGAATGTTCATAAGCAGTGCTCCAAAATGGTGCCCAATGACTGTAAGCCAGACCTGAAACATGTGAAGAAAGTGTACAGCTGTGATCTGACCACACTCGTCAAGGCCCATAACTCCAAACGACCCATGGTGGTGGACATGTGCATACGGGAGATTGAATCACGAGGTGAGCACTCCATTGTTAAAATCAGCCATGCTTATGTTTATAGGTGACACAGTGAAATCACCAGTGTTAAATTAACTCCATGAGAGATGCACCAACATTTATTTATGTTCTTTCTCGTGGCAGCTCACCGGTACTCTGTATTAATGAATTTTATGAAACAGATGGCTGATTGTTTAAATGATTTTTTTGTTTTGTTTTACATTTCAAAAGAACTGCTCAATTAGTGGTGTACCATATGTTATAACACTGTAGTGTTATCTGGTGTAATTTATTGATTTCTGGATAAAGACATCTCCAGTTCTACAGTAAATTATCTGCTCTGTTTTTAGGTCTGAAGTCAGAAGGTCTCTACAGAGTGTCTGGCTTCAGTGATTTAATTGAAGATGTGAAGTTATCGTTTGACAGAGGTACGCCTTTCTTTGTTTACGCTTTGCTCATGTGGCATAGACTGCTGTTTAGTTCTGATGAAACACAGTGATATCATATGAAATCCTCTGCATGCCTGCACACAGCCCCCTATGCATAATCCTTTGGAGTGTTAAACACCCACGTGTGTTCCCAGCGCCGCTTTTTTAGGTCACTCTTTGTCTAACAGTAGGAATGCCATGTGTTTGGTTACGGTGGGATGGCCAGAGCTGCTTTAATGTGAAAGTGCCGCATTTGTGCAAGGATTACGCTCCATCTGCACAGAGGCAGTGTGTCCCCAGGAGGCCCGGGCTTCTGGCATTAAACACAGACGAACCCAGGACAAATGGACAATGTCAGAGACAGCTTAGCCTCCATAGAGAGCGCACGCTGAGTTCACGGGAAAAGACTTCTGAGCTGAATGTTCGAAAAAGAGTGGGAGCAAATACAGCTTTTATGAAGCTTTCCATCTCTCTCAAGTGGGGAAGACCCCGGGGCTAGAGTGCAGCTTTCAGAGGTAGCAAAGAGTGAGAGGGGATGGAATGGAAGAAAAAAGAGGGAAAGATAGAAACAGATACATAGAAAGAAATGGATCAGAGAGAAGGCGCTTGAGAGAAACAGACAGAGAGGAAGTGGGCTAGCGGTGCATGAAAGAGAGCAGGGTATCACCCGTGGCAGTGTCAGCTTGGCTCCTAGCATTGTGATGAGAGACTCAGCAGCAGATTGAGGCCAAAGTATGAAGTGCCAGCACTGAAATATGGCCCCCACAACACTGCACAGTAGGTCCCCATCTACATGCCATGCAGTGCAAGAGCTGAACACTGCAGGACAAAAAGCGACCCATCCTTCATACTGCTTGTTCTGGCTTCCTCTTATTTCACACACAGTGTTTGAGCTAAAGTGATTTCTCTGTGGTGAGCCCTTGCTCTAACGTGCTTTTCTGCTCTCTATGCAGATGGGGAGAAGGCAGATATCTCAGTGAATGTGTATGAAGACATCAACATCATCACAGGGGCTCTTAAACTCTACTTCAGGGATTTACCCATTCCTGTTATCACTTACGACGCATACCCACGCTTCATCGAGGCTGCAAGTAAGTTTCTGTCTGTTTCACTGAGACACTCACATACAGTAATGTAAATGCGCATACACACACATGCACACACACACACTCTAAGGGTAGATGGTATGAACATTTTTTGTCATGATATCATTGACCAAAATGTGCTTTATTATCATCATTGGGTTTTCTACTGTGCTGCATTATTAATACCAATAACCATCCTAGCACATGTTAGGAGATGAACACTGTGATAACTCTAATCACAGCACAGACATTTTGGTGTATATTCATGCGTGCGTGCCTATATGTGTGATTGTATGCTGTGAATGATGTGTACATTAGTTATGCTGAGCTGCATTTCTGTATAACTGAATGAATGAGCATGTCCTCCATTGTCCCACAGTAATGCCTGATTTGCTCCTGTGCTGCTGACAGTTGACACTTAAATTTACACCATCTCATCCACTGGCTGACATGCCCAGTAGACAGTGTGTTAGATTTTTTAACAAAGCAGATAGATCAAAGGCAGCAATGCTCCACTGGTCACCTCTTCAGTTTCAATGCATTTTTCATCATATGACTGCTGGGTACACTTAGAAATGTTCTTCATGGCTCAGCCTGCTGACTATGAGGAGGATCTATAGCTTTTTTTGTTTGCTTGTTTGTGTGTGAGGGCTTTTTTTGTCCATGCTATGCATATTTCTAGCAGAGCAGGCAGTCTGACTTGTTTGTTTGTCTTCTCAGAGCTAGCAGAGCCAGATGAGCGTCTCGAGGCGCTGCACGAGGCTCTGAAGCTTTTGCCTCCTGCTCACTATGAAACGCTGAGGTATCTGATGGCTCACTTAAAAAGGTGAGGAACACACTTCATACACACAGTCATACCTACACGTACCTTACTGTCACACACTGTGTGCATACTAGGTTTGTCCAGATCCAGTTTTTTCCCAGTGACCTGATGTAAGTAATTTAATACTGAGTAAAGTCTTGCCAGGAAAATCCATTCATTTTTAATATACAAATTATGTGACTGGTCTGATGTCTGTGGTCTTTTTTAGACCGACTTTTTAAATGACCATTTTCTAGTATTTTTAATATCAATTATGATCCAATTTTGTTAACTAATTTCATTATTTATCTATCTTTAATATTCTGCAGTAAGATCACTGAAGGTTTAGTATGTGCTTAGTGGTAAACACTCAATCTTTTATTTGTTAGCTTTTTTTTTGGGTGGGGAATACTTATGTGAAATAACCATTATATAGTGTTGAACACAATTTCAAATGTCTCTAATATTATCATGTTGATTATTACGAGTTTTATTTATTTATTTTTTTCCTTTCGGTTTTCAATGTGCTGTTAAACACAGTTTTAACCCATTAGCAGCACAGCATGGCTGGTAAAACGGAACATTTCCACAATGGTTTAGTTTCTAACTGATTGTGAGTGTAAAACGTGGTGGGAGTGTATTTTCTGTGTATTTCTGGTGGTAAAAAAAGGCTCACATTTTATGTGTCAATATTTTGACGAAAGGCTGCTGGCTCAAAGGCGATCAAAACATTGGAGGCTGTGTGTAATGTGCATTGATGTCATCTCAACAACAGTGTCATAAATAGAGAAAAAAAAAGAAATAAGGATCAAAAGTGAATCGGACATATGGCTGATACCCAATCCATCAGAGTATGCCTACATCAGGTCACATCACTGACACACATATATTCTGTTTGTATTCTTCTACATTACTTTAAATTGCCTTCTTATCTATGAAGAGACATGCATTTTTCATGATCTTATCATAGAAAAACTCTTCATATTCTCATGTGTGTTATTTATGTGTGTTTATAGGGTGACTCAGAATGAGAAGGATAACCTGATGAATGCAGAGAATCTGGGAATCGTATTTGGCCCTACTCTGATGCGAGCGCCAGACCTCGATGCCATGACTGCTCTGAATGACATCCGCTACCAGAGGCAGGTGGTGGAGTCTCTGATAAAGAACGAAGATATCCTCTTCTAGCCTCAACTCCACTCTGCTGTCTATATGAAGGAACATTTTTATCACGGACTGCACTTCAGTGCTGTATTGTTTCTTTTTGTGCAAAGACTTGAATCTCAAAATGAAGGACCCATTGTATAATACAACTGTTTTTTTTCCACATCTGGTGGACCAGTACTAACTGCTTATCATTCTGTTCTCCCCCGTTTAATGGGTTTGGATTACGTACCTTAAATTTGCATGTCTTCCTCCCCATTTTTGTCGGGGGTTGTCTAAACATGAGGGCGGGACTGTACAGAACGAGCGTCGTTTATTTTGGGGTGGTTTCAGGGTTATAATGGGATAGCCCTTAGCCTCCTCCCACAGCATGTGGTAAAGCTCGTGAAATGTGACGCGTCGTGACTGTGCTTTTATTTTGTCCCGTGGATGTACAGTAGTTCCCGCTTGCCAAATGGGCCATTTGGTTTTTGTGAGACATTGTAAATGTGATAGATTCCACTGATTTTGGTGACACTTTACTTGGAATGCTAAAAATAAAGGCTGCAATATATACATGAGACACGCTTATAAAATCAGTGAGCAGTGTGAACAATCTTCAGCTGAAGTGGTGTTTAGTGATATAATAGCCAATGCCTGGGTTTTTCTTAAGTTTTGGTTTAATATATATTTTTAAATTAATTTACTGGTTTGATTACTGATGTATTCTTTTTAATGGGCAAGTTCTTTATCCCCAGCATCTAATATTAATGTTGCCTTTTTTTCATTTTGAATATGTTGCGTGATTTATGAATGTCCTGTAACATATTTATGACTCTCCAAGTAAAGTGTCACCGTTATTTTGTACCAACCTGTGATTTACTTTTCTGATCACTTCTCTCTGCCTACAATTTGCCTTTACATGCAGTACCTCTTCAGGTGAATCTCCAGAGCCTCCTCAGCTCTAGTCATGAAGACGATTACAATCCAGTTACTTCTCAGCGTCTATTATTGTAGTCAGGCCTTCAAAAATCTCTTGCACTCTCAACAGAACTGGCTGATGTTTTTTGGTTGTAATGTTTTTGTATTTGATTTGTGCATGAATACATTAATTTATTAAACTTCACTTTTAGAAATATGGTGTTTAGAGCTTTGTTGCACGTCAAGTCTGCTGGGGTACATCCACAATTTCACAGAAAAAGTTCTGTATTTGGTTTTTCTGAGAACATATATTGACTTGGTTTCAAGCTAAGACAGTACCAGTTTTTTTTAATGTTTCTTTTTTTTTTATTATTCTTTTAGCTACATTATTTAAAAACCTGCTTTATTAGCCTTCGCTTTGGGTGACCTTGACAAAAGAACGTGTTTATAAAGTCGGCATGTTTACAGTGACAGTTCAGCAACATCTTGCAGCTCTTCAGCCTGTGAGCCCTCCAACCCTGTCAGTCAGACTGATTTGTTTAGAGATTAGCACAGAAGCTACAGTACCTCAGGCAGCGTCCATCCCCCAAATCATGCTGAGCTTTATTTGCCGGATGCATATGCGAACAACGTGAGGCAGGATTCATGTGTTTTATTTTTAATTACTCCTGATGGGTCGCCCATCCCCCACAGCTTCAGAAAAACTGTCACGACTCATCTCGATTCATTTAAACATCCTGCTTCTCTACTATTATAAAGCAAATCTTGGGTTGCATCTGCACCTTCCTTTAGAAATTTCTTATCAGTGGTCCCATGGTGTCCTCCCTGATTGAGAGCGCTATGAGTTGAGGGGGAAGGGGTCATTCATTTCTATGTTGGCAGCTGGTGAGTCTTAATTTGCCATGAAATCCTATTAAATTATCCTTCATTGTTTTCTCTTAACCATTGGAACACCAGTGTAGGTTTGATTATTAAAAGCCGTGAATCTTAACATTCAATTTCTGATTCAATAGCTTTGTGTCCTTTTTCTCTGATTTGTTCATTTGTTCTGCCCACTCTGCTCTGCATGGTCAGTATTGAGTCATTCAGCCTCTGCTTATATAGGCAGTACTTCGATGTTGATGCTGTAGTTTGTTTTTGAGGGGAAACAATGGTGTTGCTTGCTATTGTAATGTTACACTAACCATTTTTAATTATCAGGATCAGTAGTTCTTTGGATGTCCGTCTGTTAATTTATTTGAAGTGGTTAGGAGTGCAATAACGTAATTGTCTATTCATTTATTTACTTATTTATTTGTGTATTTATTTATTTATTTATTTATTTACGTTGTCAGTATCAATGGGGCTATTTTACCGGCACTGGACAATGAAAACCAGATTGCTTATAAGTGAGCAAATAATGTGGGCTAGTCATTAAATATCAGTCACAATGCAGTTCGCATCTTTTTGGCCTGGCAGTTATTTTTTCATTTCACCATATCCTCTAGATTTTAAGATGTGTTAATATGCCCCTCTGAGGTTTGTGCTACACTCCACTGACTCTTGAGTGAAGAGTAAAATTTATGAAAAAATCACTCTCGCAGTCTTTTTTTATTATTATTATTTTTTTTAGAGAGTGATTTATTGTTATTGAGCATCAGCAATCCATCTGTATTAATAGTGCAGGGCAGCAGAGCGGGTGAAGAGGCCATTTCATCCAGGCTGCTGCTGCGTTAATGCCACAGTGGCTGAACTCTGATCCACACACATCAAATAACACACAGCAAATTAATCACGAGACCACTGTGCCTTTTCACACTAATGAATTGGAATGCCCTCATGTGATGCGTGAGATAAATTGACCTTTCTGGGTCAGACAGACGCGGTAGAGTGACATTTCCACGTGTGAGGAGCTGCCCTATATATTTAAATACTAATGTGAACTGAAATATTGAAATCAAGTGCAGAAGAAGAACTGTACAGAATGTGTCCTTGACCTTGTGTTCTTTAGTGTTTTATTCAATGGCAAAATAGATGACCTGTATATTTATTTTATATCTTTTGGTTTGTATAAGACAGTGAATTCTTGCTAATATTATGAAATAGCAGATTTTCCCCTCCATGCAGTCTTTTTAGTTTTTATTTTTAGTTCTGATTATGATATCAGGTGTGCGTTTCACAGCCTTACACCTTTGTGACTGTTGCTGCTTTTGTAATAGAATATGTTATTCAGTGGTAATGGTATTGGCATTAGCCTTGGTGTTACTTGGTATTGGATCAAAAACAAAATTGGTGGTATTGCTCATCCTTATCGAAGTCAAGATAGCCAAACTGCAGCTCGTATCTTGGAAATACTATGAAAAAAAACAAATTCATTGGAAAAGACAATTATGCTTAGAACAGTTGAAGGTAAAAGGGGAAGAGGACAGCCAGCAACAAGAAGGATGGAGACAATCAGAGAATCACGAACAACCCAATAAGAAGCCTAAAGACCCAAACAGATGACAGAATAATCTGGAGAAATAGTGCGCCTCATTCACCCACTGTTCTTAAGAAGAAATTTCTCCTTAAAGCCCACTTACACAGTTTTACAAAGATTCTGACATTCACCAATGTTTCTTATTTGGGATTTGTTCTTAGATAAGAACAGAATCTACACACACTCAAGAACACAAAGGTGCATATAATTCTGTGGTTTGAAAACACTACATGAATCTGATGTAAGCTTTATCTTAGAACCTTTCTTAAAAGCAACTTTAAGGAGAAACCTATGAAGATACTGGTGAATGAGACACAGTATTCATGCATTTACCCAGAGTCTGAATCAACTGGAATTAACATAATAATAAAAATAATAAAAATACTATCCTTAATAAGCAGAGTGGTGTGCAGACAGCGTCATGAGTGATATGTTTGAGTTCTCAAAACATCACCAGCAGCTGTGTGTCCATGTTTGGACTGAGCTCTAAAGAGACTGTTAATCACACATAGAGCTGAGATAAAGAGAGCAGGTCTGGGCCTCATACAGGGCTGGAAGAGCTGTGTGTGTTTGTGCTGTCTGCACGCTCTGAGCATGGCTGAGGATTGTAAATGGAGCTCTACCTCTACCTCTCTCTCAAGGTCGAGCGGGTTTAATGCAGCCAGGACAAACACGTGCAGGGCTGGGATTCAGGTGGCCCAGGCAATATTTTGTGCATGTGGGTCTGTCTGTGTGGGTGGGTGGGGTACTGATCTCTCTTAATTCAGCGGTTGCCAGAGCTGCCACTCTGTCTCTAAATAAGATGAATGATGCAGGGGGGTGGGTGAGGGAGTGATGGGGGAAGGAGGCAAGGGGGAAATGGTCTACTGGTGGACGGTGGGGGGTGTGTGGGGATGCTGTTCCTGTGTGTAGCAGTCAGGGCAGCATGTACAGGGACAGCAGCAGTGGAACAGTCAGAGTAGCAGCTCTGCAGGAGGGATGAAAGATGCAGTACCATTGTAGGCTACACAAATTCTCATTTATGTTCCACTTACATTTACAACATTTGGCAGATACTCTTATCCACTTATGAACTTATTCCAGTTCGAGTAGGCCAGAGTCTGATCCTATCAAGCTAAGGATCTGCCAGAAGCAGGAGTCAGTGCTGATACATAAACACGTAGAGATACAGGGTTTTATATATTTTTAACCCCAAGCCATGGCCTCTCAAATTCAACTTGTGATTAGCAAATATTAGGAATATGTATATGTAAATCTACATAATATTATATATACAAGTTATTCTTGTATATAAATAATAAAAATTGTCAATAGAAAAAGTGATTCTGAACTTTTGAAGAGTAGTGCAATTAAATCTCGTTCGATTAATATACATTAAAGTTACAAAGGTCTTTTCCTTCTCCTATAAAGTTAATATACAGGGTGATTCAAAAAGATTCATCCGATTTCAAAGCGCCATATTTTTACAAACCTGTGAGGCGCCTAGGAACCAATCACATACCAGTTGAAAGAGCGGGTCTGACTATCACCGGAAGATATCTCCCTTCAGTCTGCGAGGAGACAGCGACCACTGAGCAGAAAGTGTTTTGCGTTCTCCACTTCAATAAGAGTGAATCAGTCATAACTGTGCAATGTGATTTTCATCTGCAGTGAACCTCGCACAGTTTAGAGCATTCGTCGTTGGTTCCACAACACTGGATGATCTCCGAAATTGCATTGAAAGAGCCGTGAGTACAGTGACACCCAACATGCTCAATCGAGTATGGGATGAATTTGACTATGGAGTTGATGTTGTCCGTACAGCTGGAGGAGGTTCCTATTGAGCACTTGTAAAATTACATAATAAACTTTATGCTCATTTAAACCATTTACAATTTACTGCATTGTTCTGTAATGATTTACAAGTGAAATAAATCATTTTGAAATTGGATGAATCTTTTTGAATCACGCTGTATATTTTAGAAGTGTGGGGTTCTGTTACGGAATCGATGATATACGGACAATTTAACAGGAAATAGTGACAAGGATCACATCAGGGAATTTTAGATGATGATGGTGATGTTTTTGTAATTCATTTGCATCTTTGTGATCAGGAAATTTATTCAGATGTCCAGCAAGATAAGATACTAGTTTGATGCTTATGCACGATATTCTGTGCATAGCAGATGAAGTACAAGAACATATTATCTCTCAAAAAAGGATACAGATGTTTTAGTGTGTTATGAAGATTATCTTGGAAATCCAGTGTTTTTCTATCTACAGTTTTATTTCTTTGTATTGTGCAAGTCACTTCAAGAAAAATATAGGGACGAAAATGAAAACATTTTTATTTTAGAAGCCATTTGAACTCAGGATGTATCTTAGATGTTGCATGCAATTTAAAGTGAAATATTATTCTTAGTGTTGTGTTTGTGTCCAGTAAATATTTCAGCTCAGTTCAGTCATTATATATTTTTTTATAAAAATAAACATTTAAAAAAATATATTTTTATATATAATTTATATATTTATTTACAGTGCAATTCTAAAAGTCTACATACACAAATGATGAATGCTCACAAAATATGTCTCAAACACAGCCTGAACACTGAGCAGGTGAAGTACACTGAAGCCTTAATGTGACATTAACGCTGCAGGTTGTGGAGGGGAAAGGGCACTAGAACCGCTGGTGGGGGCAGGATGTGGAGGGAAAAGAGCATTAGAGCTGCGGGTGGGGCAGGTGGGTTATTGAGGATGGGTGCAGTGATGTCAGGTTCAGCCATCTGGAAAAGTCCAAGCAAAAGCTGGGGCCTCTCAGCTCCAGCTTGTAGAATGATTAGGCTACGATCTGATATAATAAGCCCATGCTGACTGGGCCTTTTGGCATGTAAAATAGTCGTTTATAATGTGCGCCCAAATGCTAATACATCTTTCAGTACATTTCACAGGTGTACTAATGCATCAGAAAAAGCACTTCTTAATGGAAAAGCTTGACCAAGCCCTGACCAGAAACTGTAACACATGGTATGTTGGTGCAGTACCCAGCTAGCACCTTCCACACTGGTGCTTTAGCTAGTAGTGTTTCTATTGTGTAATTCTTGTTCATTCATTCATGTATTCTTAAATAATGTAAACACATAAATAAGTAAATGTAATGATTTATTATGGTGTTCAAAGACTTTTACACTCTGTTACACTAACGCCGTGTTTGTGTGTGTATGGGTGTTGAATGTGGAGGACACATGAGCGAAGGATTACAGAGGTATTTGTCTCTGGTTTCATGTGCTGGATGGCTAAGGAGTGTATGTGACTGCTGTGCCAGTCAGCAGAGCAGGACAGAGTGCTCGGTGGGCATCTGTGAGACTGGACACACCAGCACCATTCAGAGCGGATATGAACAGAGGTTTAGAAGAACTTAACTAAGTTTGTATTTCTTCCTAACAGCTGAAAAGAGAGAGTGATTTGACTTTGCTTCGTAGATACCAGCGACAGCAACATGAAGTGGGTTCATTTGGTTTCTCTGCTCTTAACTGTACTTACAGGTAATATATTTTTTTCAATCTATAATCTGTAAAAGGTTAAAGGCATGGTTAAATTTATTTTATGCATGTCACAGTCTTTATAATGTGCTAGCAAAAATTAAATGAGTGCCATTAACATTTCACTGTAAGCTTTTCGTTATTGAAAGTGCAAGACAACTAGAGCATCAGATTTGTTACTGGTGTTTTGTCACTAAAAGAACCAGTGCACAGATGATTATGGAGGCTCAAACATTTTCTCATTTATTTCACATATAACACCATACGTGGATGGTTCATGGTTTTATAGATGTTTGAGTGATCTTAAAGCAGTATCCAGCAAAATGTTTATCAACCTTTTCCTCAGCCTAATCTTATCCTCAAGACAAAACCTGATTCTAACCTGAAGATTAAAGAATCATAGAGCCCAAAGTGTATTTACGACGCTTGAATGTCAACTGAGAGAGAGAAAAGAGTTTTAATGTTCGGTTGTAAAGTGTGAGATGGAACATCCCTCTGTTTTTAGACCGCACAAAACATTGATTTGATTGACAGCTACATATGTCCAAGTGACTGCTGGTGACTTTTTTCACTGCCCCTGTGGGGATTATTGTATAGTCACTGGTTGTTGAGTCTGATCAATGTGAACGGAGAGATAAATTGATAAAAGTTCTAAATTTTAAAGAGGAGGTCATCTGTGTAAATATTAATTGAATTGCGATTTACATTTATTTTGAATAAAGCACATCTCTAAAAGGCAGAAGGAGAGATTACTATTGCTGGTCTAGTGACAGAATTTAAAGAAGACATTTAATGGCACATTAAGGCTGGGAAATGTTGACATGAGACACCAGCGGTCCGGATGATAAACATGGAGCGGAACTCAGAAAGGCTTTCCGGTAACTCTAGAACTAATGGAACTTTCACACGTTTCCTCTCAACTCATCTCCAGCAGAGTGAGAGAGCAGGCTGCCAGAACGACACATAACATAGCCCAATCCCCCACCCAGTCTCAATTCAGTTTATTTACAGGGGCTACAGTAACACTGTCTAACCTTATTTTTTACAATTTACACTGAGAAGAACTGGTACATTTGGGTATCACTAATCCACTCAATGCTACTCTAATACATACTTGATTCTGGCAGATTTTATACTCTTAAAAAGGTGCCGCAAGGGGATATATGGAGTGAAGAACCACTTTTGGTTCCCTAAAGAGTTTTTGTAAGAAACCGACCATTGAAAGATTCTTTAAGGGGAAACTGTGGCCCACAGTCTGTTGTAAGCATGCCTACTCACATCCTATGTCAGTGCTGTAGTAGTAAACAAGATTTCCCAGTGTAAAGACATGGAAAATCCCTTTCTGATGTATCTTGAAGGTGTGAAGAACCTTTGAAACACTGCAACTCCTTTGATTTTTTTTTTTTTGTTTGTCTTAATTAGATGGTGAATGCATAAGATACCTAACATTTCTGCTAGGAAGCCAAAATATCTTATTGCAGCTGTATAACTGTAGTACTCTTCAGATCTTTACAATGGAGAGAACGGATACTCAAACAGCAGAAAAGACCCATCAGGTGAGGAGAAAAACAAGCTAAAGCTAAAGATAGCTGTGCTAGTTTATATACTGAGCTTACCTCAGTTTGGCTTGTTTTTTCTGGCTAAAAGGGTAAAAATCTCAACTCTGATGGCCATTTTTGCTGAATAAGGATGAAATTACTGTTTTTTATAAGGTATATTAATGCTAGCCTGGTTGTATTTATTTCTCAATAGACTAGCAGTCAGGATTAGTCTACACCAAAGGGATTCCTAAACATTGTAGGATGCATTTGTATAATGCAAGCAGGCTATTGTAGTGAGAGAACAATGACAAACAAAAATATGCAAATGATAGACAATTGTGAATTCTGTCATACCAATGAGGCTGAGGGATTTGATGATGTGCTATGATCTGCTGCATGACATGACATCTGCTGCAAAACATATTAAACTTCAGTTTTAGGTCACAATGCCCCTTTAAGTAACCAAAATTGGTCTAGCTCCAAAAACACTTTTTGGCACATTTATTTTTAAGAGTGTATTTCAAGACAACCTGGTGATAGTCATGCAATGAGTCATGCAACAGAATACTGTTCTGTATTGATCAATGACATTGAATACTGTACTGAGTGTTTTACTGCTGTGTTTTGTGTTGAGCAGGGCTGGTGTGGTGTTCAGAGGATGAGACTCGCCTAGTTAAAAATCTGTTCACTGGATACAATAAAGTGGTCAGACCTGTCAATCACTTTAAGGATGCAGTTGTGGTCACTGTAGGACTGCAGCTGATCCAGCTTATCAGTGTGGTATGAGTTACTGTTATCACTCTATAAATACTTAAACATGTTTTTCATTGCTCATAATATTAGTGTGCTGAGCATGTAATGACCACTCACCTACAGTCATATGCAAAAGTTTGAACACCCCTGGTTAAATGAATGTTTTGTTGATTTTCTAAGTGAAGTTACTTAAGCATTTGGCATTTTTCGCACACTCACACACACACACACACACACACACACACACACACACACGCACACTGGGAGTTTAATATACTGGAAAAAATAAACAACATTTAAAGTGTGCCATAACTTTTGCATGTTAAAAAAGCAAATAAACAGTAATTGTGGTTTTGAATGTGCAGTTTTCTGTAGAGAATTTGTACTTATTTTTGCTTAGAAAATCAGCAAAACATGTAATTTGCATACAGCTATAAGTGACTAGCTATATTTGGCAAATACTGGAATTAATAATGAAACCTATTTTATTTTCATCTGATCTCTGGCAGGATGAGGTTAACCAGATCGTCACTAGCAATGTGCGTCTGAAACAGGTAAATCCTTTAAAATAATGGTTCTGCCAACGTTCTTTAGTAAAGGCAATGGTTGTATGCAGAGGAGTGAACACTCAAGTTACCATTTAAATGTATAAACCTTTCTTTGAATGGTTAAATAGCACTGCTCTGTGATGGAAAACCTCTGTGATGAATAACCATTAAAAATGGCTCTACATAGCACCAAAAAGGGTTCCACTGTTGATACATTCAATTTTTTTGTTCTATATTAAAGCCTTTTTGCTGAGAGTGTGCTTAAATGATATTTCCATTTGAATTGTCCTTTGTTAGTTATTAAGATTTTAGCACATAATATGACTTGACACTTCTTTTAAGGCTTTTAAAATGATGTTATGCTTTATCTCTCTTATATTTATTGCTTAATCCACTTTTCCTGCCTTTAGCAATGGAAGGATGTGAACCTACAATGGAACCCAGAGGACTATGGAGGGATAAAAAAGATCCGAGTTCCATCTACTGACATCTGGAGACCTGACCTCGTTCTCTATAACAAGTACGACATCAGGCCACTGCCTTTTGATCTGATTCTTCTGCGTTTGAGCATGCTTACGCAATCTGAGCTGATGGACTCACAGACTCACGTAAGAGTGACGTGTTCTGTCTCATGACTAATTCACTCGGGGGGAGATTTGTGGGTGTGTTTGTGTATACGCAGTCTGTATAATGTAAGGGGGAATGAAAGAACACTCATACTCATACTGCAGCAAGCTAAATCTGGACTTCTCATCACATTTTCCTACCTGTCACCATATGCTGCGTCTAACACATGTGCATACCCGCAAACATACACACAGCCGTTTCTCCCTGACAACGAGCCTGCTGTCTGTGAGACCCCTGCCCGTCGCTATGCTGGTTGGCTGGCACATGGTACAGCGAGGGTGGTGTGATGCCAGGACCGTGGCAGTCTCCAGGCAGAGCTGTCTGTGCTTGTTAACCTTATTTTCTTCCTCTTTTTTATACCATTTTTATTCCCTTTTCCCTTCACCTCTGCACTTCCCACTGTTTTCCAGTGATGCTCTTGCAGTTTAAGCCTCACACTTTTTCGCCATACTCAGTAAAGTCGGTTGTTTTCAGAATATCATCATTCTGAGATCTGTGGTAGGTGCTTTAACAGCCCCTTGATTTTGGATTTTTTAAATCAGGAGTACTTAAAGGGTCCATATCGTGGAAAACCAAATGTCCTCACTTTTAAGTAAAACTGTAAAACATGCCACTCATGTTCCAGTTCACATCATTCATTAAGCTACAAAACAGGCTTTATTTATTTATTTATTTATTTATTTATTTACATATGCCCATTCATGCTGAAGTTACAAGGAATGTCTCAGCCCAGACTTCTTTTGAAGCAGGCAGCCAATCAGAAGTCATTTACATATAATAGTCTAAAAGGCAGGAAAAAGCCTTAATTCTTATGCATAAAGAGAAGTTGGAAAATGGCAATGTAAAAAAGAATTATGACAGGTTTCGTTCCATAAAGCTAAGGGAAAAACACAAGTGAAATGTACGATATAGATTTATAAAATTTGTCCTTTAACTGTGATCTAACACACGTACTAAAGCTGGTAATAAACCCCTTAAATGAAAGGGTCCACTGGTTGGCCCAACGTTTTATTACATACTTTTATAACCTAAGAATGGCTCGGCCAGTTTGCACTGAAGTCCCCATAGTTACTGAATAATAAGCCTTAGTATGTAATAAGCCTGGGATTTTAAGGGGTTAACAGTTGAGTTGTGAGCAGAATCAGGTGAAATCACCACGTTGTTCTGGACTGCAGGTCTCTAAGACTGGAGTTGAATATATCAATCCTAAACTATTAATACTCTTCCTCTTCCCTCTTTTATTTGTCCCTAATAGCGCAGATGGTGACTTTGCCATTGTGCATGAGACTAAAGTTCTACTAGAGCACACAGGAATGATCACATGGAACCCTCCAGCCATCTTTAAGAGCTACTGTGAGATCATTGTACTTCACTTCCCCTTCGACCTCCAGAACTGCAGCATGAAACTTGGAACATGGACCTTCGATGGAAACCTTGTCGTCATCAATCCTGTAATAACATTGCATAATGACCAATAATTACCAATAAATAATGACTATTGATCATAAAAATCACTTCAGGTTTGTCAGTGTATGCAAATAACTTGTGCCACGTAACCATCCAGCACAGGCCTACGTTTACGTAGTTTAATGTGGAACATGATCACATTCAGGTTTAAAAGTTCAGTTTTACAATGCATAACGTACCCTCTATTGTATGAAAATGCAATCAGTTTGTGACCTGGGTGTGGCATTATGGATTAATCAGTCAACACTTGGTTCAATTAAATAATTTTACGCTATGCATGTTTATTGATTTAATGGTTTAGATACCCTGCAGATTTTCATACATGTGATTGTTCTTCCTGTCTTTAGGACAGTGATCGGCCAGACCTAAGTAACTTTATGGAGAGTGGGGAGTGGGTGATGAAGGATTACAGGAGCTGGAAGCACTGGGTATATTACGCCTGTTGCCCCGACACACCCTACCTGGATATCACCTACCACTTCCTCATGCTGAGGCTGCCGCTGTACTTTATCGTCAATGTGATCATCCCCTGCATTCTCTTCTCATTCCTGACTGGCCTGGTCTTCTACCTGCCCACAGACTCAGGTACTGGGCAAACATGCACTTTATGGATGGATTGAAGATTGGAGGGATAGAAGGATGGATGGACATAAAGATGGATGGGTGAATGAATGTTTGGACAAAAAACAAAGTGGATACAAAATAATGAATTCTGTCAAAATCTCTGAGGCTGAGGTATGCAATATTGTGCTACAGAATATTATATAATATGACAAATAACACATTGAATGCTAGTTTTAGATGCCCCTTTAAAGAAGATGCCAAAAAAAGCTTCTTTGGAGTGAATAAATGGATATGGTGGAAGGAATGAAAAGATGGATGGATGGATGGATGGTTGGATGGATGGATGGATGGATGGATGGATGGATGGAATAGATATATGTATGAATGTGTGGATGGATGGATGGATAGATGGATGGGTGGATGGGTGGATGGATGGATGGATGGATGGAATAGATATATGTATGAATGTGTGGATGGATGGATAAATAATTAGATAAGTAAATGATTCCAAAGGTGGCAAATTGGATGGTTGGATGAATGCATAAGTTAGATGAAGGCATGAGAGAAGGAAGGACAACTGGATGTATATACTTAATTACCAGCATGGTCATCTGCTTCCTGGCTGGGGTTAACCTCTGCCTGCTGTTTATCTTCAAACTGACTGCATGTGGGACTGACATGAGCCCCGTCTGAGAAAGCCGAGTGTCTGCACCACTGATGTGTGTGTGTGTGTGTGTGTGTGTGTTTGTGTGTGTATGTATGTATGTTTGTGTCACTGATATGTGTATGAGATACGTGTGTGTTGTGACTCTGACTGTGTCCCAGGCTCCATCTCATTAGGCTCTCAGAAGCTCTGGTCTCACTATGTCTGCCAATGTGACTGCTCTAATGTATTATACATCACACGTCTCTCTCTCTCTCTCTCTCTCTCTCTCTCTCTCTCTCCTCTCTCTCTCTCTCTCTCTATGTGTGTGTGTGTGTCTCATGATGTTCAGTATGCTGTGATGAGATTTGGTTGCTAAGGGCTCATGACCCATCAGAATGTGAGCCCAAGCTTAGTGTAATAATCATAGTGTGATTGTAATTTCCTGGGTGACCAAAATGCTGTATTGCATTTGCTTATTGGTTATGTGTTTAAATTGGGGTACTTTAGATAGGGATGCACTAATATGGGGAAATGTGGGCCAATGATATCCAATATTTACTATGTTCACATCTCCCAGATCCAATATTGGTACATAAACATTTTAATAAAATGTAGAAATTGCGACTAAATCCACTTGTGACCTGTGTCACCTAAACATTCTGCTTTTCTGTGGTACAATAAATTCATCATCAAAAGTCATATTGAAATTTCAGTCATGTGAACATCTATCTGATGCTGATAAATTTTTTTAAAAGCAATTTTGCTGCTGATACTGTTATGATTCCGATATTATTGTAAGTGCCTAACTTTGGAAAATCTTGAGTAAACTAATACAAAATAGTATGTTAGAGCTGGAACAAGCATAGTTTAAAGCAACATCCACCAAATCAGCCTGTCAATGCTCAGCGTAGATGGCTCAGTCACTGGTTGGTGTCAGTGTTGATTCATCAGCTTGAGAAGCAGGAGGGTGCTTAAGTCTCCAGCTCAGTGGAGCGTAATAAAGGCAATAGTGCTCTCCAATCTCCATAATCAGCACACAGCTCTTCCTGTGTAACGGCTCAGTGTAGATGTCCAGAGGCTGGTGTTAACAGAGAGATCCACTAGTTTTACATAATGTTGCATTTTTGTGCTCCCACCTGAATAGTCTGAATGGTGCTACATCCTAGCAGTGTTAAAATGCTACATTCACTGAATTTTTTTTTTTTTTGATGTCTTGTATTTGTGCTACTGGACTCGGTGGCTCTCAACATATTCCACATCATGTCAGCATGTTGGCAAAGGTACTCCACAATACAACACAGAGGTATTGATTAGGTTGTTTAATTAAATTAACAGAAGTGTGCTGTCAGCCTCTTGGCCGTGAATTAAATGTCGTGATTAAGACATGCATATATATATGTATATACACATTCTTTCTAAACTTTATAATGGAAGCTCCTATATTCAAAACAGATTAACAAGCAAACAAAATACATACATAATGACAAGAAACCAAAGGCACACTTGAAATGTACTTCTTGCTGATCTCAGGTCACTCTGTATGTCTGTGTTGCTATATTCCATAAGTGTGTTGTCTCGTGGTGTACAGCTGTGTGACCACATATAGCTCTGTCAGTCCAACATTGCCCTTCACCCTGACCTTGGGGCTTACTATGTTGTGTGAACTCATTAAATGACTATGTATAGACAGCACTGAGGCGCCACTAGAGTTTAGGAGCCTCCTGCACACATTTAGCCCAACTGATGGGCCGCCTGCTGGTAATGTGCATTACCAAGACAGCTGAAGGGTGTGTAATAGGATCCTGTGTTGGTGCTTTTGACATGAGTGGTGAAAATTCTCAATTAAGATCAGCAAATGCACATATTCAGTAATTGAGTGATTTATTAACTCTGGGCCTTGTGAAAAGTCTCTCTCAAATCCTTTTTCATAATCTCAATAGTTTAATTCATTTGACTTGCAACAAGGTCTGAAAGCGAACACATTTGCATCACTGTATGCCTGTGACTGTTCTGCTCTATACTAGCTTGGCATCTCAGAATAATGAAAATGATGCTGTGATTTCATACCACCTTTTTAGAACTTAACAATTGCAACCATTATCGCATATATTTGGGTTTAACACGTCTTAAAAATAGAGTCCACCATTTCACCATTCATGCTGTGGTGGAAGTGACTGTGCTGTAATTTTAACATTTCTTATATAAAAATGACAGATTGTTCATCATACTATCATACTACACACTTAAAAAAGATGGTTCTTTAAAGGTTTTGTGTAGAACCATGAACACTCAAAGAATAAATAGTTAAATAGTTCTTTGCATTGTGAAATGGTTCTTCAGATGAATAGAAATTGTGATGTATATGATTCTACAGAACTTTTGTAAATGTTTCTATACTCCACCAAAAAGGGTTCTTCTATTGTAATAAGCTTGACATTGTAACAATAGCAGAACCCTTTTTGGTGCTATATAGAACCATTTTCAAAAAGGTACAATCAATGGACAGCTGTATTCTTTAAAAAATAAATCTTTTTAATAAAATTCTTATAGAAATTATATTTTTATTACAGATTTTTACATATTAAGATCAAACATCTATCTGGATCTGGGGCAAAGGTGATGTAATTCATACAAACCACATTTATAAGTGGTGGAGGCATGGCAAAAAGCCTCCAGGATTGTTTTAATGTGAACGTCATATGATTAAAAAAAAGAAAATCCTCCTCTGAGACTTAAACATGTCCTTAAACACCCAATGTGTGTGTGTGTGTGTGTGTGTGTGTATGTGTTTGTGAGTGTAGGTGAGAAGATGACCCTCAGTATCTCTGTCCTGTTGTCTCTCACTGTGTTCTTGCTGGTGATCGTTGAGCTGATCCCCTCTACCTCCAGTGCTGTTCCACTCATTGGCAAATACATGCTCTTCACCATGGTCTTCGTCATCGCCTCCATCATCATCACCGTCATCGTTATCAACACACACCACCGCTCCCCTAGCACACACACTATGCCTGCTTGGGTCCGCAAGGTGGGTAAAGCAGCCACACCTCTCACCACAAAATGAGGTTAATGCTGCACACAGTCTTTTTTGATTATGAATATATGTGATTTTATTATTTGTCCTTTTGGGTCTTTGTGCTGTGGCTTGAACCTGTCAGGTGGTTTAGTCATTTGATACATGTAGGCTTTTATACAAAGAAGGTTTATGTAAAGGAGATACTCTTCTAGCGCTCTGCCAGCCTGTCATATGTGTGCATTTTAGAGTACACAATGCATAACTAAATGTAAAGATATACAGTGTTTACCAGTAAATGTGTTCATGTTTACACCATGGCAGTGTTGTTATTCATAATGCCCTACTCAGTGCTGACACCTAGTGATCAAAGCAGCGTGTTAGCGCAGTGCATGAGATAAACCAACAGAGGGCCCCATTACCTCTCAGCATCCTTAATCCTGAAGTAGCCCAGCTCAGCACATACCCTGCTCCCAGAACACCTAACACAGCTAATTTCCAAGCCCGTCCTGAGCTGAAGTGGGTGTATCAGAGCAGAAAAACACTAACATGTTTAAGAGAGCACTACTTCAGGGCCAAGAATGATAACCACTGCTTTACAAAACCAAACACAAAGGAACAGAAGAGCTGCATACTGATCTAATGTCATTTATCTAATTATGTTCATTTTTGAGAGGTTGCATTTGTATGTATTCTGAGAAATCTTTACCATGCCTAAACGTCCGTCCTCCTCAATGTTTAGGGTCAGTTTCCTAAAGTGTGATTAAATCTGGGCTCGGACTATGTAGGATTTTGAATGGAGGTTTTTAATTGAAAGGGAAACATAGTCCGTGACCAGGCTCAGTCCCGGCCTGGGAAACTGGCCCGTAGTATAAGTATCACACTGACGTCTGATTTGTCTTTACTCAATCAATTATTTATCAATCAATCAATACATTTCTAATTTCTCAAACAAACAAAAATAAATAAATAAAAATATCAGTCATTTATCTCTTCCTCTGTCTGCTTCAGATTTTTATTGAGACCATCCCCAACATGATGTTCTTCTCCACTATGAAGCGGCCTTGTATAGAAAAACAGACAAAGAACATTTTCGCTGCTGATCTGGACATCTCAGATATCTCGGGGAAGCCGATGCCCACTGCTGTGCCCTATCAGTCACCCATCACCAAAAACCCAGACGTGCGCAGCGCTATAGAGGGCATCAAATACATTGCAGAGACCATGAAATCTGATGAGGAGTCCAATAATGTAAGACCATGAAGTGTTGATCATTATTTGTTATATTCTTTAAAAAGTTCCCCATAGCAACTTCATCTGTATTTTGGGAATTTTTAATACAATTTTTATAATTGGGGTTTTTCACTATTTTTGTTTGTTTAAAAAAAACTTAGAAATGGACTTTACACATACTAGAAATATCAATGCTATTCTCTTCATGTTACAAATAGATATACAGGATTTTGGAATTAAATGCTTCAGTTTCTCTCTCTCTCTCTCTCTCTCTCTCTCTCTCTCTCTCTCTCTCTCTCTCTCTTTCTCTCCCTTTCTCTCTCTCTCTCCCTGCAGGCCTGCGAGGAGTGGAAGTTTGTTGCCATGGTTCTGGATCATATTCTGCTGTGTGTGTTCATGTCAGTGTGTATAATTGGAACAGTTGCTGTGTTCGCCGGACGACTCATTGAGCTGAGTGTGTTATAACATGGTTAAGACGTTATATTCATGTTTTAGGGACCTTCACATTATATTACTTATTTTCATATATTACATATTACTTACACTCATATTTCAGGAACTAAATATGCAAAATTATAATAAAACATAGCACAGTGTCCACTGCCATACCGCTGTTTGCTGTATAATAATGCTTTGTGATCATTTTGTGTTTTGTCAATTCACTTGTCTCATGACAAAGACAAGGCAGACAAAGCAGTGACTGCAAGTAGATTTAGAAATATAGTATTTTATTAAAGTTAGTAAACTTATATTTATATATTAATTGTATTTCATATTTAACATTTATATTGCTTTAGTATGTGTCCTAATTGTATAATAAAAACATTTCAGTCTTATTTAATTCATGCATTCTTGCATAACTTTTGCCACTGGTTTACTAAGGTTGTATATACCTTGTAAACAGTAGTTGTTCACAGGCTCATATGTCCTGTTTTCAAGCTGGCTTCCTCATACTGCAGTGAGTTATTCCTCCTTTACTTCAGTGCAAACCAAATAGGGAGATACTTACTCATTTCAAGTGACCGGCTGAAAAGGAAGCATCACTCAGCTCGTTTGCTCCCCCAGATTCATTTACTGACTCTTGCTTGAGTTTGTTGTACACAAAATCTAAATCTTCATTCTGTGAAACTGTTGCTAGTTATGAAGTATGATCTCTGAGTGATTGTGTTTCGGACACCCATTAACCTCTAAAACCAGATGACCAGGTCCAGACTTCCTTTCCTGACTCTCATATCCACATAGCTTACGTATTAGTTTCACAGTAGTAACTGAACGATTCACAGTAGCCTTTAAGAGCTTAAGGAGTTGAATGATCCCTGCTGTGCTGCAAAAATGATGGGAAGTGAAATGATATCAGGCCGTTGCTCCTTGATGTGTTGAGATTTTGTCTCAAAATTTTCTTACTTAAAGGTGGAGTAAGCGATTCTGAAGAAAGATTGTTGATATTGTTGAAATCAACAGCAAAACAAATACACACTTTACTTCAGGGCTCTTTCAGAAGCTCCACCCCTCCAAGTTCATGGACGCATATTGGCAATGACACTGGACTGCACAAATGTGAAACATGTACAGACAAATACCATGACATAACATTAGAGCACAGCAAGTAATGTAACTAAAGTTAACTAGGTTGTGGGTTACAATTGCTATTGCAAAACTAACCAGGTGGGATTAGCTATCACAAACATTAGCAAACAGGCCAAAACAATACTGACCTATTGATTCTGTAAAACAGTAAAAATGACTTAATGTTACTCATCTGTCAAGCAGAAACGGAGCAACTTCCTCATTCCTTATCATGCCTTTACATCTTTTTCTCTTTTTTACCAAGTTCTTGTTCAAACTTTAGAGTTTTGTGGCTCGCTCCAAGCTACTTGTTTTTTTCTCATTAACAGAGCCAAGGCTGTCCATGAACAGCAGATTTTTTTCCAGTGCGCAAAGGAAACGAACAGCTAGCAGACCGTGAGGAGATATTTTCTGAATTTGACAAAAAGTATATGGGTTTAACATCACTTACTGCATTTTAAAATGTTTCATCCACTCAGTATACATTTCCAGTGCATAACTGAATGAAACTACATCTGCTACAGATCAATACCAAAGTTGAAGATAGCAGCGTAATACATTCAGCTTAAAGGAATTTTGTAATGCTTTTGTTATTTCGTTTTTGTTTTCAATTTCAAGCTGTCTCTGGAAAGGCACAATGCCTTATTTGTCCTTGAATTATATTAATCACGTAGTTCCTCTTTCTGTGAATGCATTTAGCAGGAGCTCATGTATCTTCTCAGTTACAGTAGCTGTTCTCATTCTTACTGAGAGAAAGGGTGAGGAAATGAGTGTGGTAGCGTTCGTTTGCATGCCGTGCTCTAAGGCCCACTCCCCTGTGTGAGAGGCTACGCTGTGCACCTTCCGATTGGTCTACTGCATAGAGAGAGAGAGAGAGAGAGGAAGTGCAATGCAACTGTCTGCACAACTGTGGAAGTGAGTTCTCTACGGCTTCATAAACGGGTGAGTCCAGCTTTACATGACTAGATTGAGGGAAAATAAGGAGAGATAGGGTCAGAGGAGGAAAGGGAAGCTGTGGATGAGAGCTGGGGCATCCTTACGGGTCAAAGGTTGATGTTTTTTGATCTGAAGGTGGTTGGGTTTTTTGGGCTCCACCTCAGAGGAAACTCAGAGGAGGAAATATAACTGACACACACTGAGAAGGACAGAAAGGTGCTTTAACCAGGCTTATGAAATGGCCTGTGCTTTAAAAAATGATCATGAAAAATGATCCTAAGGTACTTACTTGTTAGAAACTGTGGTTATCTGCAGTAATATATGTGATGCAAATTCATCACATGCAGATTCTTAAAAGTAAAGGTTTCTAAATGGATTTTGAGTTTTATATTATGTGGAAGTTCACAATCATCACTCAAAACTCACCTTTGTTTTTAAGAGCATAGGTTTGTAGTTTGTAGTAAATTGTCAACAGCATTCATTTTTCAGTATGTACACAACCCTGATCAGGAAGGGGCAAAACTTCTTTTGGGCCTGTGATTTTGTGTCTGCCTTCAAACTTCATACAAACTCACACAGCTTGTTTATACCTGAGTTCTTTCCTGTTCTTTTCAATTGTGGTAAACAGCTCTAAAACTGCCAAACGCATTTCTCACCTTAAGCTGAAGGTCAAGTTCTAAGTCTTCAGATATACATAGCTTTTTTCATTTGTTCACCTCTTCACCACTCTCCACTCTCTACTTAGAACATGTCTCAATATTCTTGTGACTGATCCCACTCTTTAGAAGAACTTCTAAATAAAAAACCAAACGAAAAAAAACCCAAAAAAAACACAGCAGCACAACATTTTCCGGTCTTTTCTTTTACACTGAAGTGACCCATAATGTTGCTTGATTAAGAAAGTCGGGCAAGAAATTGAGTGATTTTTGCAAAAAGGTGTGCAACAAAAACCATAAAGTAGCCCATAGCAGGCCTCTTCATATCAAAACCCTGTAACAGGTCCACATGTAGCCTCCTAACCTGTTATTGTGCATCATACCCTCAAAATCAGTCAGCATGCGCCTGTGGCTGAGTGCTCTCTAGCTGCAGAGGAAATGGTGATACACATTTTGCACAGAAGACATTATTAGGGGTGTATGCTTCAGGAAGTTGCTGTGACCTCTTCTGCAGCAGATGCTAAGACCACTGCTTCCCTCAGTGAAGCATGCTGATTCCGCTCAGTAGCTAGGATCCAGTGCTGTAGATAACATACACAGTACTGTGTAAAATTACTGACTTTTGCACAGTACAGTAGCACTAAAATTATCTTAACCGTTGCAAGATTTTGTAACCTGAGTTTCAGGTTTCTCTGACAACTGAAATTGTTCCTCATCCGCCACACCATGAAAACCATGCTATACTGAGAAAGTTTGACTCGAAATTTTTATGTCATTTGGCAAATTGGCAACTGTTTCAGAATTACATAGAAACAGCAGCTGCACACCTTCTTTTACTGATACAATATCAGGGCATGCACACATCTTATATGTAATACAGTGGCCCCCAAAGGTATTTGGACATTTGTGCCATACTCAAAAATGTATTGAGTTTATTGTGTTAGGAAACAAATTCTCAAAGCGAGTGGCTTTTCATTCAAACAGTGATTCCAAGACAAAAGGTGGCTGGTGAGTTTCAAATTATTTTTTTAATTATTTTTTATTGTTTAAACAATTTCCTGCAGGTTTGCATTCCAAATGGTTTTGTGCACTTCTGAGTTCATGATCTCAGAAATGAACACAAGCTCACTAAAACCACTATACGAAAAACAGCTCCAGGCTTTGATGTTTCCACCTTTGTGCTTGACAGTACTTTTAGTGCAGTCAGGTTGAAATTCTATTCCAAATGTTTTCCACAGAAATCGATCTAATGTTTTGCTAAAGGTGTTTTTCTCTGAAACAAGTACCAAATTTTTAAACATTTTATGAAGTAACCTAAAGAACTTTACTAATGGTTAATTACCAATGCTTAAAAAAAGTGTCCAAATATTTCTGGGACCACTGTATATGCTACAACCTATATGTAATAAGAACTCTTGCCATACAAAATCTTAAATCTAACCCTAATCTTAATGCTAGTAATGAAACGTTTTTATTTTATTGCTCCTAACTTACACTCACACATGCTCACACATACTAAAGACTGTTCTGTTTATTTATGCATCTGACACATCACAGAGGCAAAACCACAGAGCTAGAATGCAAAAATGTATTTAAAGACTAAGGAAACCTAGATTTGCCGAACTGAAATTGGATGCAAATGTCTATGACACACACACACACACACACACACACACACACACACACACACACACACACACACACACAGTTTATGTATTGATGTATTATAAACTGGTGGCAAACATTTAAATCCACCTGCCTAAAATGTCTGGTGGAAACCTGAAACATGCATGGTCAACACAGGTTGGTTGTCATTAAATCAGTTAGTGACTCAGTGAGTGAGAACACCTCTTGTAGGCTGACCTGCTGGGGGGTCCACCAAAAAATGTGGCATCTCAGTGCAGCAGCTATACAGCCTGGGGCTTCTGGGCTGAAGAGCAGAGCAGTGGTGAACCTGCTGGTCTCCTGTAAGCCCTGGGCTATTGTAATCTGGCATCAGTCCTGAAACTCTGGGCCGGTGGAAACAAGCCAGATTCTGCAAAGCCTGCCATGTTAAATTAGAGAAACATGGACAGAGTCATACTTGCATCACTTGCCATATAATGTACAGGCAACATGGTACGCTTTTGCTTTCTGTTTAGCTCTAAGTGACAGTGAACACAAGTAATGAGGTCACAGCTGTTCTCTTGCGATGACCCCATAAGGCAGAAAACACCATGTGTAGTGTAAATACATTTGTGGTGTAAAGAGACAAAAAAATCTGCTGTGCTAAAACCCATTTGTTAAAAAGCATTCGACCCAGTGTGCCCTTGCTAGGTGCCATGCTAAATGTTTGGGTTTAGACATGAGCACTAAACATAATTTTCCTTCAAGAAAGAGGAAGCATACGAACAGTCAGTAACTTTAACTTCTTGTTTTGTTAGTGAATTTGGCTGTGTTATTTAGTCT